TGAGCGTGTGCCTTGTCTGTTATGATTTGTTTTTGTTTTGGTCGCACGCTCGGCAACATACTCACCACTGCTTTATTTGTAAATATTTTTTTTAGTAGAATTTATTCGTGTAGGCATGTTTTTAGGATTAGAATGTAGCGTAAAAAATATAGTTTTAAATTGTCTCGCGTCTAGAATAAATATAGGTCCCGTTTCTCCTCCCGCTGTAAAATAAGGCGAAAAACATAAGCAGCAGGACAGTCAAGCGCGGTTGCAGGAGAACGATGGCGTTTTTGTGATTGAGGTATTGTCGGTGATTGTCAGCGAGTACGAACGAGAAAGTTACGAGTCACGGTTGGAAATCGACGCGTTTTTTGCCCCGTCCGTTTAAGTGGAAACGAAAGTTGGAGGGCCGTTTTTGTGGCGTGTGTCCGCTGGAGGGATAATTCCCAGCATCGTCGCGCGATAGTGACGTCGTTTCCCCGAAAAATGCCATGGTTCGTGAGCAGAAGCGAAGGGTGTCGGATCGCCGCCAAGGGAAGCTAAACTTCAAGGATTTTTCCGCTTCCCGGCTAACCACCAAGGATCCCCGAACACCCACCGTCCTCACTGCGGTGGCTCAGCCAGTAGAGCCAGTCTCGCCACCGTAGTTAAGAGCCAAGGAGGGACGAAGCAGGCCGAACCGAAGGAGCGTTTGCCTGGGTAGTGCACTGCGGTGACTACCGCGACCATCTACGGCGAGTAGTTGGTTCGGTGATTCGTCACCATCGTCGCCTGGTGGTTCCGATAGAGGAGCTTTGCTCATCCCCCCCGCTAAAAGCAAAGGACAGCTGCTAGGCAGCCAATACTAAAGGAGAGGAGACGCTCGGCACAGACAGTGTCTGGAGCCGACGTGAAGCAGTACGAACAGCAACCGCCACCGCTATCGTCGAAGGGCCCCAGCGAGTGTCACCTAGAATCAGCGAGGAAAAAGGGAAGGTCAGATTAGTTATCACATTTCTTTCTCTTTTTTTATCGTTAACGCCCAAAATCAGTCTTTGGGGTAAGTACTCTGCTCGTAGCCGCCCCGCCGGGTTAAATCGGTCCAGCTATAGGCTGGCAGGTAAGCCACAACTTACAATTTGTGAAAAAGTACAGGAAGCTATTACTGCACTTGGAACACACGCTCTGCGCCAAGCAGACCTAGAACAAGAGCAACAGATTTGAACAACAATCTCCCACAACGAACCAACCATACCTTCAAAAATCAGTTCATCTTTTGGCATTGTATGTCTTTGTAGAGCCTTCCTAGGGTGAGATTTGAGCTACGGCCGTCGAATCATTGTCGATACCAATCAACTGGAGGGATCAGACTAGAGGTAAAAAGGACTACGTTCACTTTCCATCAACCATAAATTTGCGACACAACGGCTTCAGTTCGCTACTACACTGTCTGTAGGATGCAGCACCAGCTCCTCACCGGCCGAATCAACTAGCGACCAACCCGAGCAAAGCTGGAGATCAAATTGAAATCAAAATTTGCTGTTATGATGTAACTTATTTTGAATACTCCAGTTGATCTCATTTTGGTTGACTTAACGGTTAACACAGCAAAAATGAGAGCAAAATTTTACACTGTTGAATCAAACGGAAAACTAATCTTGCTTTCAATGAAATCAGTTTGATTACTGATTTTGCATTCATAATGTTTAACTGAATACGGGCGTGGCGTAAATGGTTAGTATCCATGCTTCTCACGCTGAAAGAGTTGAGCTCAAATCTCACCACGGGCAAGTCATGAATGACCTAAAATGTGTTAAACAAAACAAATAAACAATAATCATTAGTTCAACGACAGATGAACTTAAATTAAATTTTAAACAAGACGTTAACAGCAAAACTTCAAGTTAAGTTGCTTTCATTTAAAAAGTTTTGACTGCATAATGGAAGCACAATATGATATCAGACTTATGTCGCGACAGTTGAAATCAAAATGAGTTTTCATTATGATAGGAACTGCAAACTTTAATATCAATTTGCTTTCATTTTGTTAACCGACTTTGCTCGGGAACGCCGACAACTCCAGCGACCGAAAGCAAACGCGTCTAATAGCGGCCACAGCACACTTCGATTGCATTTATGACACACAACCTCGCAAAAACACGACGACGACAACATTCTACAAGCACTTTTAATCCGGGAGGCGGAACGCGAGCACGCACGCTTGTAGACAGCAAGCTTGTTTTTCAGGGATAGGCTTGATCTCCTATTGATTAGCGGGTACAACGACCTTATCAAGATGTTGCATTTTGTTTTTGTTTTGTCAACATGCTCCCTGTCTGCTGTCGAGTGTTAGTCCGAGATAGACTACCTCTTTGGACCACTTCACCACTGTGCCGTTTAGGCAGATTTTGTTATTCTCAGACGGAACAGGTCTGGGAGATTTTGAGTGTGGAAAAATTATGACCTGGGTCTTCGCCACGTTGATACGGGTCTTCCAGCTGTTGAAATACTCAGACAGGACATCCAAGCCTCTCTGGAGTTTGTTAGTCAGAGCTCCGATGATCCTACCCTTGTAGACGATGGATGTGTCGTCTGCGAACAAAGACAACGATCCACCATCAGGGAGAGCCGGAATATCGGATGTGAATAGATTGAACAGCATGGGCCCAAGGATACTTCCTTGGGGCACACCTGCACCGATGGTAAAGGCATCCGAAGTGATGCCATTCAGAGAGACCTGGAAAGTCCTGTCCGATAGATAATTTTGTATGATCTTCATGAGGAAGATCGGAAGACCGTATCGATGCAGCTTGTACACCAGGCCATCATGCCAGACATTGTCAAACGCTTTTTCAACGTCTAATAATATCATAGCAGATGTTTTTGAAACAGCCTTGTTCCGTCTAAGAATGTTTGTTACTCGGGTCAGTTGGTGGACGGTTGATATACCTTTTCGAAAACCAAACTGCTCCTCGAGTAAGATATTGTTTTCTTCGGCAGATGTTAGAAGCCGGCTGTAAACTGCCCTTTCGAAAAGCTTGGATAACCCTGAGAGAAGGCTGATGGGTCGGTAACTTGAACCAGAGGAAGGATTCTTCCCAGGTTTCCGAATGGGGATGACTTTAGCTAACTCGGATGGTTGTAGAATCTGGAACTCAAGTGCTTGAGCTCCAGATTTAGGATGATGTCGAAACCTGGGGCCATCATGTTTTTGGAAGTTTTGATATAAGCCAACAGTTCGTCAGCCGTAATCTCGGATTCCTCGGAAAAAATATTGGGAATCTGATGGAGGTTGGTTGCGTTTTCAGCAACCTCAGCTTCGTGAGGGCTGGTAATGTTTTGTCCGAGATTGTGGGAGCTGACGAAATGTTGGCCTATCGCGGCAGCCTTCGCTTCAGGTGTTATCAGGTGAACCAATGAACCGTCGGGACAATTCAGTGGAACCAGCGGTGGAATAGGCCTCGGTTTAGTTTTGAGGTTTTTTTTAGTTTCCAAAAGGGTTTTGCACAATCTGGGAGGGAACGGATTTTACAAAATTCTCATTTCTGAGTTCCACCATTTTGGCTTTGATAAGTTTGGTTAGACGCTTGGAATGGGTCTTCAAGGTAGGCAGTCCAGTTCTCTGGTACTGCCTACGCATGGCGTTACGGAGTCTGATTGGGCTTTTAGTATTCTGATCAAGGTTCAGAGAATTACTCACCCGTCTGGAAGCTGGCACGTGTTGTTCGCGGGCTCGGGAAACCGCCTCCTCGACGGCGCACAGAGATCTATCGATGTCATCAGTCGTCTCCAGTAGGGCGCCGAAATCGATGGCTTCGTCGACGACTTGTTGGAACCGATCCCAGCTTACCCGATGGTAATTCCGACGGGAAGCATGATGACTTTAGCTAAGTCGGATGGTTGTAGAATTTGGAACTCAAGTGCTTGAGCTCCAGATTCACGGTTTTGTGTTGTTTGCCACACTTGATGCAGCGGCTGACCATATGGCAATTTATCGTTCCATGCCCGAACAGCAGACAGTTCGAGCATTGGGTGACTCCACGACTGACCGGCTTGTACCGCTCCCACTTCACCACAATGTTGAATAGGACGCGGATGCCCTGGAGGTCCATCAAAGTTGTTGGGTTCTTCTCAAGGTGGACCAGGTATAGCTGGTCGCGGTACTTGACGGCCTTGTTTTGGCGGGCCATCTTGTGAATTTGGACCGGCATTAGTCAATTAGCCACCAGCTCTTCCTGTGTTCATGTCGTATAGTCCTCGCAGGACCACCTTGATCGGCTTAACAGCCTCGATGTCGGGGGAGAAGTACTCTGATTGGTCCAGTATGGTCTGTACCGCCTTGTAATATTTCAATGCCGGAACCATCTGTTTGTATCCTTCCGTGCACAACTGGATGGTGCACCGGACGCCCTCACTCTCAGAGCATGGCACGAGGGGAACTGCTAACCTTGACAGCCAAACGCGAACTGTTTTATAAATGCAAAGAAAGTAAAACTAGGTAGAAACAACAAAATTGTGATAAACCGCCAAATCAACCCAAAAACGGCCTTAAATGTGCTCCTACACCTGGATGGACCCTACCTATCGATCCATCAATTCATGGACCGGGGACCAACAACTTCCCTTCCTTATGCCTTAGGAAATTCCGACGGTGCCGATTACCACACCAGCGGTGCCGCTGTGAATTTTGGAAAATGTTGTAACTTTAGGAGAAATTTTAGTATACAAAAGTTATAAAATATATTAAACCACTTACCTACGAACTAAATTTCAGTGAATAGCTATCAATTGACCTATAAAGATCGGAAATTTTTCGTAAAATGGCCGAGAGCAAAAAACATTTGTATGTTTTTTTAAAGGGTGACCCCAAACATATGATCGGGAATGTAGTGGCTCGAGGAAATTTTGACAGAAAGTCCGGGCAACTTCGACCGAGTGCGGGTTATGTCATTAAATACAACTAGTGTTATTATCATATCCACAGGTCCCTTTTCCCTAATATCTACTGACTAAAAAGTTCAACATTCTTATTCCCACAGGCGACCCACTGCACGTAGGAATGGATCTAACGATAGCTAGTTTCGATGCAATTTCAGAAGTAAACATGGTAAGCTCTCATTCCAATCATCCATTCCCATTCACTCACTAGTTGCTTTGCTCTTCATCATAAATTTCCAATCAATCAACCAATCATTGCCCAACAACAACAACAACAACAACATCAGAAACGCACACTTTCATCTCCATGTCCCATCTGATGACGCCAACGAGCATTCTCACCACCGGGGACTCGGGGTTGGGGATTTATTTTTAGGACTACACGATAACAATGTACCTAAATCAGTACTGGAAGGACGAGCGATTAGCGTTCAATGCCTACTCGATATGGGGTCCGGATGTGGGCGGAGCAACGGGTACCGGTGGTGGAGGGACGGCCATCGGCAGCCGCCAGTACGACCAGAACGGCGACATGATGATTGAGGACGACGGAGCAAACGACGTGATTACGCTGTCGGGGGACTTTGCGGAGAAGATCTGGGTCCCGGATACGTTCTTCGCCAACGATAAGAACAGCTTCCTGCACGACGTCACCGAGCGGAACAAGCTGGTGCGACTGGCCGGCGACGGGTCCGTTACCTACGGGATGCGCTTCACGACGACGCTCGCCTGCATGATGGATCTGCACTACTACCCGCTGGATTCGCAGAACTGCACCGTGGAGATTGAGAGCTGTGAGTGGGATTTTCTCAATGTTGACGAGTTGATTGTTTTGCGAAATTCGAAAAAGGACGCAACGTGACGCAAATCTCCATAATGAAAGCAGTTTGAGTGGGATTAGGGTTTTCCTTTTTACGACCACGTGCTCTGTAATGGGTGGAACGTTACCGGATCACGTTGCTTCCTTTGAAAACAGATTGATTACTGCTGATAATAACGTAACGATGTGGTTTTCAAGTTTAATTTTCCCGGGCTTTTCTTTTTTTTTTCATTACAAATTCAATTCTCGCAATCATTGCAACAATGGACCGGCAACAGACGGCTATACCGTGTCGGACGTGCTCATGTACTGGCGGTCGACCCCGATCCGGGGCGTGGAGGAAGCAGAACTGCCACAGTTCACCATAATAGGTTACGAAACTAATGATAGAAAAGTGAGTGCCTTGTTTTGTTCGCTTTTTAAACAATAACCCACCTGGTAGGTGCCAAATGGTTTCCTGCAATTGCAGTTTCCCCATTGGAATTATTGCAATTATAATTAAACTCTCATCCATCGTTGACGGTCAATTACAGGAAAGACTGGCGACCGGCGAGTACCAGCGGTTGTCGTTGTCGTTCAAACTGCAGCGCAACATTGGCTACTTCGTGTTCCAGACCTACCTGCCCAGCATTCTGATTGTGATGCTGTCGTGGGTGTCGTTCTGGATCAACCACGAAGCCACGTCGGCCAGGGTGGCACTCGGGATTACGACCGTGCTCACCATGACCACCATCAGCACCGGGGTGCGGAGTTCGCTGCCCAGGATCAGCTACGTCAAGGCCATCGACATCTACCTGGTGATGTGCTTTGTGTTTGTGTTCGCGGCCCTGCTCGAGTATGCCGCCGTCAACTACACCTACTGGGGGGCGCGGGCCAAGAAGAAAAGTAAAAAGAACAAGGAAGCGGAGAAGAAGGTTTCAAGTGAGTATAGACTGGAAGTCACTAAAAGCAACTAGTTTATAATCTTTTTTAGCATGTGTTTGCGATATGGATTTTTTTAAGGTTGTTCGAAGCGACGAAAAGCTTCCCAAGTAACCAACAAGCCCGCTAATTCGCCTTTTTGCAATATAAGGCTGATACACGGCTAGCATAGCATATAAGCCGCATATTAGCCTTACATTGCAAAAAGGCGAATTAGCGGGCTTGTTGGTTACTTGTGTTATGCTTAATCTTGAAATGACTGCTTCAAGAAAATATCTTGCAAGAGTCTCTCTAACAAAGCAAAACAAAAAATCTTGCAAATTAGTGTTGTCGAGTGAGATAATAACACCCGGTGCGAATTAGTTGAGATGCACCCCCCATGGTTACACAATTTGTTAGCCACAATAAAAAAATCAATTAAATGTTTCGCACTCATTGCGCTTTATAAAAAACTTGTGTTCGTCAAACTTTCAAATTACCCTCAAAATTCCCTATAATTTTGAATTTACATCGAAATTTAATTTGAATTCTCCTCAGAATTCCACAGATCCGTCCCTAAAATTTACCTAGAATTCGACGCATAAGTGTCCCTTTAATCTCGAACGACTTTGGGTCACCTTAAGGCCCAAGCGTAATGACAGCGGAAGCGGAAAAGCCCGATCTGAGTAAGCCAACTTGTCGGATTGAAAACTAGTTAGAACCAAATCGACTTCGGTTAGGCATCTTGATGTCATTTGTGACAACTGTCAAACTTTCCGTTTCCGTTCCGCTTCCGCCCACATTGCGTTTAGGGCTTTATGCGTCTACAGCAGCATAATTCTCATAGAATTTTCCCCAAAATCACAATAGAATTTTAATTATACCTACTAAAGGGTTTCCACTTAATTTTTGCCCCATTGACATTTGGCCATAAGTCATCCTGCATATCATGAAAAATTGCCAAATGTTGTTGAAACAGACTTTAACGTGTCTTGTTTACATCCTGTAAATTTGGTGAGATTCTGTTGTGTAGATTTAAAAATGGAACCGAAACAGCAACCGTGCAAAAATTTTGCTCGCACATCGTAAACTTTCAACATTTTTTGGTGAAAAATATGATGAGGCAGATAAATTTGATCTGGCAGATAAATTGAGCAGAAAAAAATTATGCAGCTTGCCAAAACAATTTTGATTTGGCAATAAGGCTGTCCACGAGAAAGTTGCGATCAGCTGACTTTTTTGTTTACCAAGAACTTTTGACAGATCACTAGAACTGGAAGTTTGTTCTCATATCAATTTCTGCTTTTTTTGCACAATTAACACGAGATCACTCACACACTCTAGATTTCTAGCTGTCAGTTCCACTGAGAAACGTCTCTTGGATCACCTTATCAATCTGTAGTTGCGGTAAACGAAATAAGCTTTTTGCGAGGATTTTCGTCACAACCGAAACTAATTTTTATTTTTTTATATCTTTATTAAGGAGACCTTTACACAACCGGAACTAAGAAGAACTAAGAAATTTATCTAAATGAGTGCCTCCAAAAACATCTACTTCCATTTTTGAAGCAACACGGTCGTTCAACAGTGTTTTGGTCAGATTACGACTCGTGCCACTATGCAAAATCAGTATTGGAATGATATCGGATGAACAATGTCAACGTTGTGCCCAAAGACAACAATCTGCCAAATTGCCCAGAACTCAAACTGGCTTTTGTTTGAAGATATTTTTTTTTTGTTGTGCAATAATTTCGGGGACAGCCTTTACGGTTCAATTAACTTGGATGCATTTTCGAAAAATTCAAATGCAGTTTTTTTCGACGCATCATTTCAGATTGCAAAAATCTCGCGTCATTCTACTCTTTTTATTATTATACACAAAATGACGCGAGCTTTTTGCAATCTGAAATGATGCGTCGAAAAAAACTGCATTTGAATTTTTCGAAAATTCATCAAATTAAATTGTACCATAGAGGTAACTCTAAGACTAGTAGGTCCCGAAGAAACGTGCTCAATTTTTTGGCTCAGCTCTGGTACTATCTTCGGTTCCAAGCTAATCGATGCACCCCTCGAAACATAGGAAAATACACTAAACCCTAATTTTAACTGTCAAACTTTCATAGCGAATCAAAACAAGCATTGTGTAGTACTAGAATTTCGACTAGAATGGAGTACGTTAATTGATTTGCTTGGGACCAATAGGCTAGTCAAGTAGTGAGCCAATTAAAAATCGTTAGTTTCCACCGGTTGATTGAGTTATCTTTAAGTCGAGTCCAATAGACTGAGTGAATCCAATCTTTACATTTCTCATATTCGGGAAGTTTTTCCTCGAAAAACCTGGTAAAACCAGGAAAAACATGAGGCAAATTTACTCATCGCTGAGTTCCTGCACTTTATGTGATTTATGAGTAAACTAAACTCAAAGTTGGGTCGTTCTCATTCGCCGTGTACTAGTGACACGAAAAGGTGACTACACTGAACGAAAACATCCGCAATACTTCGACTGATTATCCAGTATTTTACGATCGCTTATGGCCGCCACAATCTAGCTGAGTTTCTGTTAGGGAACATAAGATTTGAAGTTTGGCTTGTGTCGTGTCAAATTTGATTTACACGTCAAACGACACAACCCAAACGTCAAATCATATGTTCCCTACCAAAAACTCAGTCAGATTGTGGTGGCCATAAGCGCTCGTAAAATGCTGGATTGTATTGCTCGAACCCTTTAACAATATGCTGTCAAATTTCGGATGATTTCCTTATGGTTGAATTCGTCATCAACTGACGAGCATACATGTGACTGTCCTCCAAATAAAGGGTGATATTTATTTGAAAATTGACTGTAAAACATACAGGGCTCAGAGGACAACAATGTTAGGATAAGATGACTTGCAAATGCTTTGGATTAGATTATTAATTAGATAGTTTAATTTTCCATATTAAAAGCCATGAACAGCCTTTCATAATGGATACAAAAATTCCTTTATGGTTGGTAGACGAAACTTCCTCCACCACGAAATAGACAATATACAGTTTCCACGTTTTACAAATGCTCGTACCACCTCTTATAGCGATGGCTATGCTTCCACCTCCTTTGTCTGCTCAGAGCAACAAATGACGTTCGATCGAATTATTTACAACATCGTTTTGAATGATTTGCGTTAAGGGGCTGAGCCAATACCAAATTAATTTCAATTTAAGATGACTATCATTCTGCAGAGAGCATTACGCATTCCAACTGAAGGCCCTATCCCTTTTCATAACTATGTTCATCCTGTATTCGAGAGGAAAATCATCTGATTTCAAAACAACCGTCATCCGGTTGCAGCTATCATTCGAAAAGGCGATTTCGATGTTTCGATTTGAATGGTCTTAGGTTTCATTCGAACTAAGAACGGTGGTTTTGTACAGTGTAGTACACTGTAAATTGAGCACTTAGCAGTTGACAGCTCAATATCAACAAGGCTATCGAAATCAATTCACAATTGAATAAAATTTTATTCAGTATTGTGAAAAATTAGACTATAAATTACACACAATGACGAAATAACATGCATTATTTTTCCAACGATTGCACATAAACGTATACTCCACAGTCCAGTACACAATTATGCTATCCAGTAAAAGTATGGAAGACTGTCAAAACCAAAAAAAATTGTTCCAATCGAGCAAAGCAGTGCATTTTGCTTCGATTGGAACCTTATGACAGACGGCCAAACTTTTACTTAGGCTGTGAACCATTTGCCGAGTTCAATTTAACTCGTGGTTAAAAGTGACATTATGAAAGTTATTTGCTATGTTCGAAAATCCCTGTGCTGTCGATCGACCGGTTTTCGAGAAGAGGTTGTCAAAATTTAACTTCTTGCCTGTCAGAAGTAACCACGCTCGGATAGCAGGGTTAATCGATAACATTCCATCTGTCAAATTTTAACCCAAAGTTAAAATAATCCACCAAATGGTTCAGAGCGTTAGAGGACTTTAGTTCACATGGGTTCGTTCAAATCACCCCCCGAGTATCTAAACAGAAAACTTTAGTTTTACGTACCTTCTTACAAATTGTAAATGTTTCCACCGTACGTAAACAATGGGGTCAGCCATCGTTGGAGGCACAACTTTTTTCACATCAGAAAACATGTTTTTGTTTCACTTCATGTGGACGTCGAAAGCAAGCCAAGAATAAATTTAGACTGAGACGTATCACTTATGTTGCATTATTTTCCTTATATCTTGGAATTTAATCAGTGGTCTGATTAATTCCCCGGGGGCATCTGGGACATGCCCGGAACTGACCAATGTGATCCGTGGCACTCGAAATGGCCACAGTTGATTTGGTTATCACATTTGAAGTAATTTATTTTGTCACATGATAGGTTTTATTCCTTACCTGGGGGAGAGGTAGCTCATCGATTCTTCCGGTTCGCCTCCTAGCATCGTGCTATAAGGTACCAGGCGGTAACCAGGGTAGTCGATCGATAGCTCGATGACGTCATTTCGTTGGCGTCTGCAATGGGAAATTCTCATAGCAGGCGTTGACGATGGGACGTTGTCGAGTTGTTGAATAGCAACTATCGTGGTAACTCACCGATTACCTGTCGATCTGCCAAATTTGGAAAGACGTCTGCATTGAATTGTCTCGTATAATAATATTCCGCCCACTATATCACAAGAAATTGCGAGTAGCTGAGTGGAATGGAGATAAGCTAAGCATTGGGTACAGGACCAAGTCTCCCCTGGGTGGTGCCAAAAGATGAGCGCAATAGAATCATCAAGTTGCCATAAGGCACGGAATGAGACTATTGCATGGCTGGGTAGTCAAAGTCTTCCATTCGTTAGTCATTTCAGGTGGATTAGAACAGGTTTAGGTGGGCGTTGGCCAGATTTTGATTTTTCAGATGTAATCCTGGATAGGACCCTGTCATTGAACGTCGCGTGAAAGTGGAACTTAATGAAGGCCTAAGTTCTTTTTCGTAGTTTTTAGTTTTCGGATTTGAAAGATCGTCGGTTACAGTGGCCTGCTTACT